TCGGTTGCAATCACTGTGCATGGCTTTTTCCCCTCCTGGTTTTCCCCCCCCCATGTCCTGGCCCAGCATGAAGGACCCAACCGGACAGCTCTTGGAATTCAACCTGTCAGCTGCTGACAACTTCGGAGGGAATCTTGGCATGTGCGTCATGCGTGCAATATGTTGCACATGCTCACTTCTAGTACTTGGTACTTACTTTGCAGGGGTGTGAATCTCAGGCCCTTGGGTGGTACTACTACCAACGTGCCAGGGAAGAAGGGTAAGACTTTGCCCGCTCTGCAAAGGAATGAACCTGAGAGACGCCTAGCAGAAATTCATGGCCACTACAACGTATAGAGCAATCACCCAGTAACAGACCCTAAAAGACACATTTTTGGAGCGGCCTTTCCTTGGGAGCTTCCACACCGACCAGCCCTAACTGGCCCCCATGCACTGCCTGTGCAGTGTCAAGGCCAATTGTCCACATTCATCGAGATCCTCGGTCATCGTATTGATTCAGCTGACGAGCAAAAGGCCAGCTGGTCATTTATGCCTTCCAAACTTTGCAAACATCATATGTGAACATGCGTATGTTAATTTTTTCTCATAGGAGCGTATCTCAAAGACCATCAACTCTGATCGAGCAAAGGGGAACCTGGGGCTGCAAAAAACAGCATGAGCTAACAGACCCTAAAAAGGCAATTTTTTGGGGGTGGCCTTTTTGAGCCCTAAGAGCTTCCAAAACCACTAAAAAAGGACACCTCCAAAAAGTGCCTTTTAGGGTCTATTGGCCTATCTTGGTAGGCCTGCAAATGAACGAATTCTACTGCCACCACTTTCTTTCGATCCACCTCACCAACTTAGCCGAGGATTGCAACAGAATTGGAGCAGAGCAAAAATAAGGTGAACACGGTCTACCAAGAGTTGCTCTCGAAGCAATCCGATCTTGTTGGTGAAGATGCGCTGTCACAGTCATGCACTTATGCGCATGCGTCTGCGTGCATGCATGTAGGTCTGGCTATCATGATCAGAACCAGAACTGAACTGTTTCTCACACATCCCAATCTAGTGATCTATAGATCCAAGTCTACCCACCCAAGGCAACAAAAGGAGGACCTTGTGGCAATCTTTGTTCGGGCTATGCAAGCTGACCTGGCTATGCAGAACACATTGAGCCGGGCCAGGCCTGGCACGAATCGCATCCCAAACAGTTCCGTTTATAAACCCCCATATTTTTTGGAATCAAGTCTTTCCCACAGTTGCCATCGGCAGGAATTGCAAAACGCCGAAGCCTAAGGCTCCGGCTGCTCCTCGTAAGCGCCAAATCACTGGCGATGACAATGCGGCTGGTGCACCTGCTAAGAAACGCAAGAGGTCCAAGGTGAATTCGGCCATCAATGCTGAATCAACTGGATCTAAGAAAAGCAAGGCCAAAAAGCCTAAGAAGGCATAGGCCCCTTTCGAGTAGCAAATCGCTGAGCATCAAGCTACAGTTTCGGTTCCATTCTATTGAGAAACCCTTCAAACAACTTTAACCTATAGTGATCTTTTGATGCTCACTGCAATTTTGGCGATCAAAGCTGAGTGTGTTAAACACTGGCTGACAGCTGGGGGTTGAAAAGGCTATCCCTGGCTTTTGGAGCTCAGAACTCTTGAAAGCGCTGACCAACTATGGCCTATGTCAGAATGTTTCAGGTTCATTGCAACATTTCCCATAGTGCCATAGAGGTCAAAGAAGGACAAGCAAGTTATGGTTCGCTGTTGTATGCCAGGTCACTACGTGGAATCATGTGGTGATGAAAGCCACTTGACTTGAAAGACCAATCTGTGGTACCTATCTTTTGGTCGGCAGCTTCTCCCTTGCCATGGCCCAGGTCATGACGATTCTGAAGAGTGCGACCAAATTGCTGAAGAGATTTTGGAAGAGTACTTCACTGGTGCTTTTTGGCTGAATTTAGAGCCTAGGGGGAAGCGCTGCTGTGTGCAGCATTGTGCGCGTCATGTTGCCACTGGCACAGGCTCAAACCGCTACTCGCTCTACAAAATCTGCTCAAAGGATCTGCAGGGTCAGACGCAACAGACCCTAGGCTTGAAAGGGGAAGAGGTCAGCATGTATATAGATCGATTGAACAACATGTTTTCGGGAATGTGAGGAAAGAGTGATGATCTGCTCTGGAAGATGGCCAAGTGCTCCGGCCCCAAGGGTGGCCGCAACGCATGCCGGTCCCTATCCCGCCTCATTAGACGTGAAGGCTTGAGCCTTCCGATTGAGCTCAGCTTTGTCGAGTTGACCTGTCGTCGCAAGAAGCCAAAGATTGTGGACACCAATCTTCAATGGCCAGTTTTGTCAATGCGAAGCTGGGCAAGCTACCTTCTCAACAATCACCCTGAGATCCTTTTGGGGGGTCATACCTGGGAACAAGATTGGAAGTCAATGTTTGCATCATTTTGGCACCGCTATCGAGATATGGAACCTCATATGGTTTTCTCCAGCGGCAAGCCGCTAACACATTGTATTCCGATCTACACTCACGGAGACGAAGGGCAAACTTTACGTAAGACGGCTTTCATGGTCCAGTCGTGGCAGCCAGTGATCGGCTGGCAGGGTGTGAATGTCACAACTACGTCCGGGCCACTTGGTTCTGCGAAGGTGCACTGCACTAGTTAGTTTTAGTTTTCTATGTATATAGATTTATCTTTCATATATATATTATATGATATCTCTTTCTTGATTCATCGCCCATGCAAACCATGTAAGGTCCAGCTTCTGCTCGCGGTTTCTCTACACCTGCATCTCAAGCTGGTGCTTTGCTGGGGGTGTGACCCTGAACCAACTGAATCGAGCCTGGGTTGATGAGATGATGGACTTGTATGAATCTGGCATTCAGGCAGGGTTTGCTCCAAAGACCCAAAAGAAACAACCTGCGACCAGGGTAGCTATTATATAATTGGAAATGTAGGGCAAGGTAGGGCCCACTTTAAAGTGGAACAATCTCCTCGCCACCAATGACCTGCAGCGTGCCTGCATGCAGGTCGGATCCGAGACGCTGTACCTGATATGGCTTGGCGCTAAAGGTGATTGGAAGTACCATCGTTCCGTTCCGCAGCAAATCACCATCTGTATTTTTTTGTACTTTAATGATGCACCACTTGGGTCTTCACGTATATGTTGATGGCCCAACCCGAAAAATCAGTGCGAGGCTTACAACCTCAAAACTGGTTGGAAGTCCAAGAGAATTTGCCACATGTGCAGCAGCAGGGTCACTGGGCGTTGAAGGTCAGGAAGTTTTTTCTTGAGACCTCAGTAGGTTGCATGTTGAAGCTATTGGGTTCAGGCTTCAGGGAGGTTGTATGCATGAGTTTTGATCATGCCTTAATTGTTGAGGAGTGGTGGAACTTCAAAAGGAATGCAGTTTGGCGAAGCGAGCGGCCATGGCATCACCCGTTCAAAAGCTGGGACTGCCCTTTCTTAGACCTACCCCATGGGTCTGACCCCGGAAGGATTTTGATTGACATAGCCCACACATTTCACATCCATGGCGTTGGCGTGGACTTTGCCGCATCGTCAGTGGTGCTGTGTTGTCGCAAGGGGTTGTTTGGAGCAGGAACCTTGGACTCCTGTATTTGCAGGGCCTATTACTCTTTCATGGAGTATTGTGTGGCTTTCAAAAAGACAACAGCTTGCAAACAGTGGATGACACATAAAGACCTTGACATGGCCAACAACAATGACTATCCCACATCGATTAAAGGGAAGGGCTTTGATACAGCTTTGGTTTGCTCCTGGATATCTTGGAGGGCAAGGAGGGAGAAGCAAGGTTTTTGCTCATTTTGTTCCATGAGTGGTTCTGTTAACCTTAGACCCCCAGACTCCATGCCTTAAGGGGCGACACTCATTTTGTTCAAACCGCAAGACTTGATGCCTTAAGGGGCAACACCCTGTAGGATGTGGATTACGATCCGGACCTCCAAACGCTCAAGTTTACGGCTGAGCAAATCAATTCCTTTTTTAGGATTCTACATGGCTCAGGGATATGGATTGAGGATGATGCCCGCCGACGTGCTATCCAATGTGGGGATTTGTTTACGGAGGGATTTGCAAATTTGGCATCCCGCATGGCCAGCCAAAAGCTCTTTCTCTTCCGTGTACGACCGAAGCTGCACATGTTTTCAGAACTGGTCCTATCGTTGGCCCGTGGAAACACAGGGACCATCAATCCTTTGTCCGCATGCTGCTGGAACGATGAAGATTTTATAGGAGTTGTGAGCCAAACTAGCAGAACGTGCCACCGAGGAATGACAGGTTTGGCTCTGTCTTTCAGCACCCTGCAAAAGTGCTTGGGTAGATACAGGATTCAGTTTTCCAAACTGAACTGAGCGCGCACAAAAAGGCCCCCGAGGGCCAGACGTTCCATCTGCGGTCCAATGGCCATCTTGATGTGCACATCAGCAGGTGTGGGTGGGGTGATGGGTTGCACCATGTCCCCACGATCTCTTTTTCAGTGGACTGTCTGTTTTTCAGGAACCCGTGTTATGAGGCTTCACAAACGCCTTGATTTAACTGGAAACGCCTGATCGTTCAAAACGACCAGAATAAAACAGGCAACGGAAGATTCAGGTATATATGTTAAATCACTCTAACCTGCAGTGTGCTGTTCTTCAAGCCTCCCGGCAGGATCGATTCTCTTTCCTTACGCCTTACTCATTTTACTCATCCTTACTCCCAGCCCGCTGTGTGAAGAAAGATGGACACTCCGGACAGTTTTGTTTTTTGACAAAAGACATGTACCAGACCCACTGGTGGTGGTGGTGAATGGACAACTCCTTAACCTTGAAGGGGTGGTGAATGTAGAATTCACCACCCCTGGTCTCTTCTTAACCTCCTTGACCAGGGGGTGGTGAATTGAGACTTTTATATCAAGACCCACGCTAACACGAAGCCTTCGTGGTTTGAACTCGGACCGTGAGAAGCAGCCGGACCGGACGCTTTTTGGGGTACTCCGAAGCCGGGAACGCCGCAGGATGCATGGCATTGACGAGCAGCAGGTCAGAGCTGACTGCACCGATCGTCTCCAAGGCACCGATCCTTCCTTCGACGTCGGTCCAAGGCCGTATGTTCCGGTGCAACATCTGGGAGAATCTGGAGGATTAGATTAGGACGTCAACCTACCAGCCCCCAACGGAGCTTGACTGGGTTTTGACCACTGCCACGTTGTCAAAAGTCGGAGAAACCTTACATGAGACATGGGAACAAGCGATGTCAAGCATATTGCGAAAAGGCCCTCTATGTAGACGGACTGCTTTGCATTGCTTATTTGCTGGCCATTGTGGTCATATACTACTAGTATATTTATATAATTATGGGAAATCATGGAAATATTGTTGTAAATAAGTTCTCTCACTGAGGACGGCCCATGATATACATTCCCATGCAGTTCCGACCACTGTTTTTTTTCTCATTTGCAATAAAGGATTCATTGGATGGCTAACCAGGTGTGAAAAGCACTGTTCTAAAGTTATTTGGGTGGCGCCAGTCGAATGCATCTACGAATCAGCCGACCAGATGAGGTTGGGATTCAGCTTTCTGGTTTCGTCGTTTTCTGGATGGACATGTGTTGCAAAACAACAGGTTTGGAGACGGCCCGGATGGCACCAGGATACCGACCGGATTGACCTACCAACGATGGTCCGGCTACATGGTGTTGAGGCTTCCCCACTGATTCTCCCAAGCCCGTTCCCTTGGCTGTGGTTTCGCTAGATATTAAGTGGGGACAGTGGCAATCTCGTTATTCCATTCATGCGCATCACTAACTAGATGACTTTGCATTTGGCTACCTCCAGAATTTGACCTATCCCCAAACCATAGCAGTGTTTTAATGTTCTATTTCCTTTTCCCTGAGTTGACCCGAAGTGTCTCCGCGATCAACGGCGCCAAAGGTCCTCACATCATACTCTGCATATATCTTTTCATGCCTTGAGCATCCTTCCACCCGCCAATTCTTTTCGGGGTACGGTCTATAGAACCCTTTACAGGGGGGGGTACCTTTGTTTTGACCCTCACGGATTCGGGCGGGACACTGAAAAAGAACCCATTCGAACCATGCGCCTCACGTCTTCCTCCATCTGTTTCTCGCCCTCGTCGACTCGTCGACGTTTTGGACAGCACAGCCCACGACGAGGTGCCGTACTGCGGTTTCGTGGTGCTGGAGCGATGCTTGGATGCACTGGACTGGTTTGGGCGATTTCGTACGGCAGGCGCGTGAACTGGTGCGTGGACTGGTCAGGTAAACCAGGTCTCCCATGGTCTTGGTTTGGAACCCGTCATGTGGAGCTGATGTGGAACTCTCTACGCAAGCGGAATCCTTTTCCCAGATGGCACTTCCCCGAAATAGATCGTGGCACGGCGTCCAATACATTTTACTATTTTCTATCTACAGTGGTTTCAGAGTAGATGGCACAACCCCTACATGTCTTTTAGATGGGGGGTTTATATAAAGCACCTTTTGTGGATTGTGCCATCTACTCTGGACCCACTGTATTATTTTGCGGATTTGAAGTCTATTTTACAAGTTTACCGGAACGAGGACTCTTCCAATCCTCAGGACCTGGCCGTGTCCCCGAACTGGAAAAGGATCCTGATCCTGATCGGACTGCTTCATCAGAAAGCAGATCAGGTCGATGTTCGTGCTCGGTGGATCAAAATACCTCTTCCCCGGCCAATTCCGTCCAGTTCGGTTCTTGCGGGTGCCGCACTCGTCATGGGCCGATGGGGCCGGACGCGACCGGGACGCAAACGGATGGCCGAGCTGGGCCGAGCACATGAGAGCACTGAGCACGGCGAGCACGGAGGTCTACATGGCGCCATTTTCGGACAAAAGGCCTGGGTTGGCCCATTTTAGACTGGTAGATTGACCATGTCTGGTCGATTTTCGTAATATTTGTCTATTTTTCGAAGGTCGTGTACTGGGTCCCAGTTTGGATCCACAGACGGGTCCCGCCGTTTTCTCCCAGTTTTAGGCTGTAGGCCATGCTGTCAACCCATTTAGTTGTTTGTGACACCGGATGTTTGAGCCACACATGCCCTATAACATGCACCTATAACATGCACCTGTCCTGAACGTGTTGGACTGAGCTGGTCCGTCTCATCCGAACATCGGCACCGCAGACGGTGAGGTGTCCTCGCTCCAACAGCAGCCCATTTTCTTCCCAAAACCAAACATATCCCAAGAATGGATTCCCATCGATGTGCGAACAAGATCGATCTCAGGTCCCTTCCAAGCGGATGAGCCTCCCAAGAGCCTTTTGGATGTGAACGCTGGATGGAACGTCTACAATGGTCACATCGAGGCACAACACTTCAAAAAGGACAGGAACGACCTTTTTTGACCGTCAAGGACAGGAACTTCTTGGAAAGAACCCGTTAAGGCTTCTTTGTTCTTAGAAGTACGAACGTGATGAGAAGTACAGTACGAACGCTATGGAGTCTGCGCTCGGAACATGAACGACTCATGCGAGTTTCTGCTTGCTTGCCTTTCGTATCCCGCGTGTGTGCGTGTGTGTGTGTGTGTGTGTCCACCCCTGGACAAAGGGTTTTCCACCGCCACTTCCTT